ATTTTGCAAGGTAAATTAAAGGAAAAAAACAGCCCAGGAGGAAGAAGAATATCCTGCTTGCTTACCCTGAGAGCATGGTATAGAAAGACCTCAACACAGTTATTTCGTATTAACACCAACAAAGTCATCATAGCCAAAATGATCGCCAACGTTCGGAACGGACAGGAACCCTAAGAGAAGAATCGTTGAAAATAAATATTTTACAAAGAAGTGAATAATAAACAGTTATAAATTGATGTTAAGTAAACATAACATGTCTTCAGAAATGTCCCGTTTATTTGATAACAATACGATTCACTGCAAATGAATATGTTATTTTTTTAAGTTATACTTAATATTGATTACAAGCACTTCTACTCGGTTGTACAGTAGTTTCTAGCCGATGTCAAAATTTGACCATCATCATCTTCTTTTAGTGGCCATCCCTTTCAGATGTTGCGACCATCGTGGCAATCTGTATTTTGCACACGGTTGCTCTGAACCGTGTTTGTGGTAGTCTTGTTGAACAACTTACGTAGATTTTTCAGCCAGGAAATCCTGCATCTTTGTGGTCCTCGTTTTCATTCTATTTTTCCCTCTAGAATTAATTGAACAATATAGGGCAAATTAATTACGATCGTGACTTCTCATTTGGGAATTAACTGAGAGAATATAGTTTCTATGTAAACAAAAAGTGGTCAGTCATTTTTAAAAATTAAAACATTAACAAGCCCGACTAAAAATTACAAGTGGTTTTTTACGAAATATAAACACAACTGGAAGACATACACTTTACAGCTTAAAACACATTGTCGAGTAGTACATCCATATATCGCAAAAATATATTCTTAAAAAATATTATGGTTTTGCTAATATGCCAACTATAAGGCCATTTACTTTCATTGATTAGATATATTGTTTTAGTACGTTTATTAGAATCTTTGGAAAAAATAGCAGTAGATAAAAAGTCTCAACAAAACCAACGGCTTCAAGAACAAAAAAAATTTGTAAATCTTGTTTGGCATACTTTGTACTAATATGTTACTTGTGAAAATATATTGAGGCTATTCAATTATTTTCCTAATTTTCTAAGAATTAGATGTTTTACATAAAAATAGTTTATACAGTAAGTCTGAACAATTAGTGGGGTACGACCAGTTTGGACTTAGAAGCAAAATGATGTGAGAGACACATTTTTCTCTCCAACTACCTCATTTGAGTCTTTCTCTTTCACTTCGATTTTCTACCAAATATTAAGTTAGAAGTTAAAGATCCCAAACTAATTAGAAATTTATTTAGGAGGTAAAATGCCAAGATTAGAATCGATGAAAAAAACATGGTGTATTATTCTCAAACGTTTGAAACTATGATTGAAGCTGCTGATCAGAAAAGCTTTGTAAAGCTCTTTCTACAAGAATAAAAAATTAATTCGGTACAATTTTTTAGTATGAGGATGCAGATGGGACTGAATTGGTTTAGACCAACGTAATGATGCTTGTTATAAATGAAAAGTAACGAAAAAAACATTATGCAAAATGTCCCCCCCACCCCCAGCTATATTAGGTGATAAAGCTGCTACATTAAATTAATGGATTAAATGCCAAAATAAATGTAAAAACTGGGCATACCAGATAAGTAACCTATTAAACCAAATATATGCGATAATTTAAATTTGTACTTTGCAATTGCTACAGCTGCAACATAGAACAAAATATCCAAACCATTTTTTCCAAATAAGATTCATTTATTGATTATTTGCATTTTTCACGTTTTCTTTTAGATATTTATTTTTGGCACACAGTCTACACCACTAAATTTAAAAACCTAACTACAGTTTGTTTGGTTTTTACCATGGAATGCTGGATTATGACACACTAGCCAAGTTACATATTTTTACATTTAGTTGACACACGCGTGGCTGCACCTACTAATTTTTCGGGGTTGGGGTGGCAAAAAGAATAAATTAGTTGTATCAGGTTGATATAAAAGTATTAATCTATATGAGCTTAAAATAACTTAGTAGTTGCTGTAGCTATGTCAACGATGTGTTGACAAGAAATAAATATTAGGTTTTATTCAAATATTAGGTGTTCAAAAGTATGTATCTATTTTTGTAAGTAAAATGCTACAAAAAAGCTAAATATAGCTTTTTGCGATTTTTCTACATTAATTTAGCGACCTATTTTTCAAGTTGCCTTTTGATACTATTAGATATGTACATAAAAGTTGCGTTGTCTAGTAACTTCAACGTTTCAGGACCCACGAACTATTTGACGAACAGAAAACAGCATTATATTGATAATCTTCATTCAGAGCCAGTAATAAATTTGAACATGTTGGTGATATCACATGGTGATAAGTTATTAAAATTTAAACGCAATTTATAATGTTCATAAACACATTATGACGCCAACTTCAGTGACACAAACTATTTGTGTCAAATAGAAATATGTAACTTACGTTTTTTTCTTTTTGGTCACTGTCCATTCCTTTTTTGCTTTATTTCCAGGTACACTTTCTTTAAGTAAAAATTTCCAATATGTATGCATATCGCAACAGAAGAATTTTTGTAGAAGTTTAAAATAAATTTGTACAGTCCTGACATGTTTCGAATATGTGCCACAATATGCACGTGCTTGTACATTGTGGCTATAGTTAAATCTCCTAAGCTTGCAATTTATACTTTTTAACCCAATCCAAAATATAACGTTTACAAAAAGTTTATGAATCAAAATTATACTGCTTCACATACTATTTTATTTCTGGATCGAAAGGGTTTGTTTTATTTCATAATTTCCCACTTTTAATGCTAAATCCGAATGAGTCGCTGGTTTTTCTGTGTCAAAGTCAAAAACCAAAATGTGTTTAGTAGGATCAAATGCACGTATCTCTGTGAACACAAACGAGAAACGAGTACATACTAAGAATTGTTTAAGATAAAAAAAATGAAGGAAAGGATATCCCCAAGTTGTTGATGACAAGAAAAGGACAGACAAAATATGAACAGAATAAAAACATTGCAAAAGAGATAAGCTGGTAGTAGATGAAAATTTAGTTGGGGAAAGGGGAGAGATAGAAGTTAGACCAAAGTTGAAATTACTGAAAAAATAATGTAAATACTGAATATTATCTTAATTGACTTTTTGATTCGTAGATATTGTAAAATTAAAATTTGTCTTGTTTACTGTCTACTGTATTGTTCGAATTAATTGAGACAAATATATTTTTCTGGTCTGAGTTAAAACAAATCCAAGAAAGACAAGTAAGTACCTCAACTACACGGAAAAGGCTGCTGGAAGTTGGCCGGAAGGCAAAAAAAGCGAAGCAAAACGAATTTATAACACAGTAAATGATGAAAAACGCTTAGCATTGCCAAAAAAATAAAAAAGGGATATAAATCAAGTTTTGTTAGACGAAGTGAAGGTGAACCTCTGTGACAAGGTCATATCCAACAGACTGCAAAATAAATACTCTTCTAAACAGATGTTTTGGGTTTTTTCAAAACAAATAGCACTGGAAGCTTAGTTCCTATTAAAAACATGATGAATTCTGCCAAATATCTTGAACTATTACACAGAAGGATTGTTTCATTCATGACAACGTTTGATGAAACATTTCAACATGACTTGGTCCCTTGTCAAAATTCGAAACTGGTTCAGATTTTTATGCAGGAAAACAAAAAAGTGCTTGATTGACTGGAAATTCACCAGACCGAAATCCCATTGAAAACTTATGGCATATTCTCAAGGAATGTTTAACTAAGATCAGAAACTACAAAAAGAAAACTATACTACAAAAGAAAAAATAAAAGTGACGATGATGAAATAAAGATCACGTTCATTAAACTATGTAAAGATTAAAAGCTAAGATTGTATAAAAAAAATTCTTAATTTGTCCCAATTAAATTCGAACAGTATCATATTTGTTATTTTTTATGTAACAGATAAGTATTCTCAGCATTACTACGTTTATTTACAAATCAAGCTAAGCCTAAACTAAGATGCACCTATTAAATAAAAATTAAAGATATACATGATAGACTGTTTTAATTTTATGTACTTAAGGCTGCAAAAATAAGCAATATTTATATCTACCTGATAAAATTCATGTTTTGCCAACCCCGTATTATAAGCTCTTTGACATATCAATAGTATACGATAGCTAAAAGATACCTAAGTTAGCTTACATAAATTAAAAAAATACATCTGAAACTTAACCTCTCTAAAGTGATGGCCCTTTTTTGTTTTATCATTTTAGAGTTTGCATATACACAGAAAATGAACATTTTTCCTCAATGATCTCATCTGAATACAGAATTTTCAAGATCAATTAATTAATTTCTTATTTAGATTTGGTTTTGCAATTTTGATAACTTTTACTTGATTTCTAGAAAGATTTCATCCATTCTAGAATATTCTTATTATTTTAACACCTTCAACAAATAATATAATTATTAATATATGTTCAAAAATTTCTGCCAAAATCTCAAAAGGGTTGTAAAATTTAAACAAGTGAAATCCATCACATTGTGATTATAAAAAAATGTCTAATATATTTCATTTTTAAAAATAAGGAAACCAAATGTACAAACAGAATTAACTAGGCCGATTTATGAGTTATGAGATAAAGCCCACATTTTCTGTGTTTATCAACTCGTCCGGATAGTTATATATAGTAGCTGTTTCATCTAAATTATTTTATAATTTTCATAAAAAGATACTGTATTATTTGCATTTAAAAATTCATAACAAAGAGAAGAGTAATACATAAGTAAGCGATAATAGGCCAAAAACATGACAAAAATGTGATGTGACAAAAAGTGTCATGATTGTGTGATAAAATTGCTACTATATAAAACTGTTGATATATACTCAGGACGATCAGCAGTTAAGTCTTTTACATATTGGGTATTGAGATCTGAATCTCATAGCGTGACGTTTCTGGTTTTTATGATCACATTTACCTGCCACTCTTACGGTCTAGTGCACAGGGTGAATTTATTAAGTCTCAGATAGATCTACTTAGTTGTCTCTACGGGCTTTTTTCTTGCTGGTCTTCTTAGTTGCCTTTGATTCTGTCCATGTGTCTAAAAATTAAAGAAATATACAATTATGCAATTTAATGTCTACCGGGTGGTGAATCGCCAAACGGGCTATAGGAAATTCAATGGGAAATTCTAAATTGTTGAATTCCTGCTTTGCTAATTATTTTACATCAAAAGTCATAAGAAACTATTTGTAGAGGACTGAAATATGTATTAAAAACAAATGTTAAAATTGTTATACGAATTAAATGTATTCCAAAATTTTGTAAAAATATAATACATTTTTCAGGCCACCCCTTAAAGTCAGGCCAAACGAGGTACAAGAATGTGTATGACATGTTGCGTTTGCTCCATAGTTAAATAATATAATATTAACGTTTGGTCATATTGATGATTCTGATATTGGACAATATTTGAATTGTCAATATTTTTATTTTGTGATTAAATTATACACAAATACCAAAATACGCAAATACAATACGTTTACAAAGCAATAAAATTGATGAAATGTATTCAGTTCATATGAACGAAATTTATTCCCTTTTCGTAAAGATTGTATTAAACGGTCTTCAATGGCCCCAGAACTTATTCTAGGATGTTCTACAACTGCTGTTAATACATTTATTTTATTTTGTTTTTCTAAATTTTTTGGTAATATTGTTTGTACAGGTACAATTAGAAATCCCGGTCCCATTATTTTCAAAATTTTGTAAAATCCTTTAAATTGTTGAATGACTTTGAATTAGTTTATTGGAATATCTTACGCTAAATAAAGAACTGACAATTCGCGCACTATTGCCTGAATAAAATATTTTTATTATTGCTAGTTTATCCTCAACTGAATACATTTTTTAATCACTTAAGTATGTTTTTTAAACAACAAATCAAAAAATTAAAATTTTGGAAATTCAAATACTGTCAAATATCAGAAACATAAATATGACCCAACGTAACATACACATTCGTGTACCTCGTGTGGCTTGAATTTAAGGGGGTGGCCCGAAAAATGTATTATATTTTTAGAAAATTTTGAAATACATTTAATTCGTAGAACATTTTTAACATTTGTTTTTAATACATATTTCAGTCCTCTACAAATAGTTTCTTATGACTTTTGATGTAAAATAATTAGGGAAGCAGGAATTCAACAATTCAGAATTTCCCATTGAATGTCCTATGGCCCGTTTGACGATTCACCACCCTGTATACAGAAATATAAATATATTCTCCACAATCATTAGTTAATGTAATAATTTCAAAATCATTTAGATCTGATTATAATCAGAGTGATATAATTAAGAAAAACTAGTAACTGTAGTAAATAAAGTGTTAGTGTTAGTGGAGGAATTGCCTTGGGGTTGACTAGTCTCTCAGATATTTTTTCTTTTAATCAGATATTTAAATGTAACAAATTGACTTGCCAAACTTGAGTTATAGTATGTATAATAATTTAGTCAAATAGCCTGAACCACCAATACAGGAGGTGTATGGATTGTAGTCTAATCCTTCAGAAGATGTACCTATAATAAAGTTCAATACCTCATGATCCACATTTTGGCTGCTAAATCAGCTCTAAAACGAAATTTATTCAGACAAAAAACAAGGTGCTATCCTGCATGTAGTGTAGAATTTAGTATTATTTGATTGTAACAAAGCTCTAGGTGATATCGTCAGTCGTAAGAACATAAGTTTTGTCTCTAGAATATCTAACGATGGAATATAAATTTATTTGAATAAAGCTGAAATCATTGATCACTTAATTAGCAACAATCATGTTATTAAAATCAAAGAATTTGATGTAACAGTCAGGTAATTAGTTACAACAGCCAAAAGAGTTATCATATGTTTGCCCATCAATTCCTCACGAACTCATCGAAGCAGATTTCAAGGATTTGGTCTTCAGCTTGCGTCACTGGTTAATTTCATCAAGGCTGGACTTCAAGGTGATGAGTATAGTCACATCCTATCTTTCAGAAAAAGAAAAATATACCCCACTCCACCATCTGAAGATTATGAGCTCCATATCGTTCTGTTCACCCCCTTAGACAATAATGGTTACCTCATATTTTTGTCAACTGACAAAATGGAATGTTTCCAGTGTAATCAAGCTGGACAAAAAGTTAAAAATAGTCGGAAGGACAAAGAAACTCTTTAACTCACAACTCCCTGTACATGCAGTAGAAAAAACGCAATCTAAAATACCAGCTCTCAAGTATAAAATCAATTAGTTAATGATCAGCAAAAACAGCTGAAATCCTAGCCACTAATTTCTACAAAAAGTTTGTTTCTAAAAACAACTACGATCACAGCAAATAAATGGAAAGAACTATGATATAAACAACAATAATCCTATAAGTATCTGTTTAGAAGTCTTTAGATTGAGTCTAACTTGCTGATTAGCTGCAGCTATTTAGCCCTGTGGCAACTCTCCTATTATATTTTTTACATTAGATCATAATATTATATTTAATTTATTAAATCTGTTGGCCATTGTTTCTTCAGTCGTCTTGCGAATTCGGGAGGAGCGTTTAGCAGTCTTGTTTCATCATTTGGATGACTTCTCAGACCATCAAGGTAGCTCTTTGTGATCCTTTGAATTTCTTCCTCTACCAAAGGTGTAGCTGAGTCCTCGTGTAGGGTTTTATTGCTTACATACCAGGGCGCGTTGAATATTATTCTCAATATTTTTGATTGGACTCTTTGTATTATCTTGATATTTGATGGCTTTGAGCAACCCAGAGTTGAACGCCATAGGTCCAAATTGGTTTTATCATAGATTTATACAGGAGCAGTTTATTTTCAGTATTGAGTTTTGATTTTCGACCCATAAGCCAGCTCATTTGTCGTATTTTGATGTTGATCTGGGTTTTCTTGGCTTGAATGTGTGGCTTCCATGTTAATCTTTTGTCAAGGGTTAGTCCCAAATATTTAACTTGTGTGCTGACTGGTAATTGTGTATCGTTTAATGTGATTGTTGGACATACATCCCTTCGGTTTGTAAATGTAACTTGGGATGACTTCGTTTCATTTACTTTCACCTTCCATTTGTTGAGCCATGTTCCCAATTGGTTAAGGTGGTTTTGCAGTTGTGCAGACGCGATAATGGGGTCCTCGTTGACAGCGATTATGGTGGTGTCATCAGCGAACGTTGAAATTTGGGTTGTTTCAGTGGTTGGGATATCTGCGGTAAATAATAGGTAAAGGAGAGGACCCAGGACGCTACCCTGTGGTACGCCTGATTTAATGGGAAAATATGTGGAAGTTGCTGTGTTATATTTTACTTGGAAGTAACGATCTTCAATGTAGGATTTCATAATTAGGTAGTAGGGAGTTGGAAGAATGCTTTTGAGTTTGTATAAGAGTCCAGTGTGCCATACTCTATCAAACGCCTTTTCTACATCTAAGAATGCCGCTGTACAATATTTTTTTTCCTCAATAGCAGTAAGGATTTTTGTTATAATTCTATGAGTCTGTTGTGTTGTGGAATGTCTCTCTCTAAAACCAAACTGGTGTGTGGGTATTTCTGCGTCTAGGTTAATGTCCTTCTTCAGTCTATCAAGTAGTAGTCTTTCGAAGATTTTAGACATTGTCGGCAACAGGCTGATTGGTCGATAGGATGATGTTTTATTTGGAGGTTTGCCTGGTTTGTGAATCATTATTATTTGCGCAAATTTCCATGTGATTGGGAAATATGTCAGTCTGAGTGCACTATTGTATATTGTAGTTAACATGACCAATGCTCTTCTCGGAAGATTTTTCAGTATTAATCCTGTTATTAGGTCAAATCCAGGTGCTTTGTGGTTATTGCATTTTTCTATTTCTAGTTTCACTTCTGATGGACTGAATGGTGTTATTGGGGGCGTCATAGGGCAAGCACTATCCAGGAATTCTCTTATTAAGTTTCCATCGTTATCATTATCTGCTTGGTGTTCTTTAAAAATACCAGCTAAGTATTCTGCAAATGTTAACGCTTTTTCCTGGTCTGATCTTCCCCAAGTACCGTCATCTTTCTTAATTGGTGGGTTGTGTTCTGTAGGTCTCTTTAAGTGTTTTGTTGCCTTCCATATTGAGTGATCTTCTTTAGACAAGGTACTAATGTAGTGCTCAAATGTGGCATTGCGTGCATCATTTAGCGCTGTTCTTAATTGTCTGGTTAGTCGATTATATTCGTGTTTGTCATTAATATTGCGGCTTCTTTGCCATCTACCTCTTGCTCTTCGTTTTTCGACTATTAGTTGTCTGATATAATTCGGAGTGGTATTTGTGTTTTCTTGCTTTGGAGTTGATGGTGTAGCTCGATATGCAGCTTGTTGAATTTGACAGGTGAGATAGTTTATAGCTTTATCTATGTCATCTTTTTCTTTTAGTCTGATTCCAAGACTTAGATTCATGTCAAGCTGGTACTTGAATTCACACCAGTTAGTTTTAGGGGACGTTAACTTGGGTATTTCAGGTCGTTTCATTATGTGGGTGCTGAGTGTTGCTATGATTGGTGTATGGTCAGACGAGAGATCCCAATTTGCTTCTATGTCTGTGTAGTTTGCTGCAATTCCTTTTAGGATGAAGAAGTCTAGTAGATCTGGTAGTCTATTTATGTCGGATGGCCAGTATGTTGGTTGTCCCGTCGATAAGTAGGTGCAGTTTGTGTTGTTGATGGCATCTAATAGGCTTCTGCCTTTTGGTGTAATGAGTCGTGAGCCCCAATTCGTATGCTTAGCATTCCAATCACCTCCAACAATGAATTTGTTACCTAGCTTATTGAATAGTTCTTCGTATTCTTCAGTTGTGATTCTATATCTAGGAGGACTATATATTGCAGCAATTTCGAAGTCCCAAGGCCTGGCATTTATATTAAGTATTGTTGCTTGAATCTCATTTGTTTTATGTTCCGGCATTTGATGGTGTTGTATATTGTTCCTTATAATTATTGCGGATCCTCCATGGGCTGTTCCATCTGGGTGACTAGTGTGGTAGACTGAGTATTGAGGTATTTTAATGACGCTTCTTTCTGTGAAATGCGTTTCAGATACAAGAAGGATGTCTATTTTGTTGTCCTTTAGGAATTGGATTACTTCTGCTTTATGGTTTGCTAAACCATTTGCGTTCCACTCGGCGATTCGAACAGATCTAACGAATTTTGTTAATTAATGTTGTTAGCATGGTAAGGATCATGCTGTTTTGATTCATTAGTTGGGTGAACATTGCTTTAAATTCGTTTAAGAATAAGTTCATTTGAGACCCTATGTCAGCTACTTGATTTCCTGCTCTTACTGCTTGGGCATAGGATTGGGTTCCATTCTGTTGTTGGTACTGTGATTGTTGACTCTGGTACTGTGAAATTGGTGCTGGGTTAACATTTTGATGTGGGTTCGGATTATTATGGGTCGACTGATTTCCGCTTTGGCGATTATTTCTTGCATTTTGTAAGTCCTTGTAAATTACACAGCCTTTATAGTTTGCAGTGTGTTCTCCTGTACACAGGGCACATTTTGCTGGTGTATTTCTGGGTTTTGTACATTTTGGTGATGGGTGACTTCCTCCGCATTTCACGCATGCGTATGGTCTTGTACAGTACGCTTTTGTGTGTCCATAACGTTGACAGCGCTGACACTGTGTTATATTGTTCTTTTTGTGAGGGGGTTCAAAGCTGACTTTCATATTGCCGATATGATCCAGTGTATAAATGTGTTTGTTGTTTTCTTTGGGTTCTAGGTCCACATAGAACATTGACAAAGGTGTTTTATTGACTCTGTGCAAAACGTTAATGATATTACGGACAGTATGTCCCGATTTACCTAGTTCACTTTTTATTTCTTCAACCGGCATCGAGTGGTGTAAATTCCTTATAACTACCCTATAAGCTCTATCTTGTTTTGCTTGGTATGTGTGGTGAACTATTTTGTTGCTATTTAAATGCTGTATAAGTTTTCTGTATGATTCTATAGTTTTGGGGTTTATTTTTATTGTATCATTTGGAAGAGCTTTCAACTGGTAGTCTTCAGCTTTAATGACTGTTGATAGGTTTTCAGTCATTTTTTTAATATCATTTACCCCATAGATAAATATAGGTGGAGGTTTAGGTGTTACTGGTGTGTTATTACTATCGTTTAAGTTTTCTAATGGTTCAAATCTGTTGTTTGTACTCACTTGCGTTGTTGTGTTGTCATCTTTGGGGTTTGCCTTCCTTTTTTTTGTAATTTTTTTGACTGTTTGCCAATCGTGAACGTTTTCTATGGTTTCGTCGTCTTGGTCGCTCGAGTTTTCCACGACAGTTTCCTCTTCGCTGAGGGTGTATTGGGTGGCATTTGATGTATTTGGTTGATCCATTGGAGGTGCAGGAGGGTTTAGGTTATATTGGTGATTATTGTTTAGGAATGGAGTACGCCGGTATATATTGGTTTGTTACCTGTTGGACATTGCTCGGGAACCCATAGAATGGGGGCGATATTATTGGAGGTTGTTGAGGCTGGGTATATATTTGGGGCACATTATACAACTCCCCATTTGGCACTTGATTTTGTAAATTTTGGTGGTACATTTCCTTAGTATAGTGCGCCACTGGTTAAAAATTAATCACATAAATAGTTATTTAAGATTAATCACTTAAGAATAGTTATTTACTTTTATTTTTATTTCACTAATTATCAGCAATAAACTAGTCCCGGCCGATAGCCGAGGCCGGCAGAAAAACTTGAAACTTGAATCTCGAGAGCGATATGAGTACGTGTTTACTGCTCGGAATTCAAATACGAACTGAAATTTAGATCTTAAATTGGTAAATCCCACGGCTGTCCCATCTATGGGACCCTGTGAAAAGGTTCTTACAGATACTCTCTTCATATTGAATATTCATGAATATTCAAAAAACAAAAAATCTTTTCTAGAGATTATACATAGCATCTCTTTCTGTTGAGAACAAAAAAAAAATAGAAAATAAGAACTTCCACTCTTTCACTATTGAAATAGAATATATATATATATATATATATATATATATATATATATATATATATATATTATATATATATATATATATGAAACTTACCTCCAAGTTCATCAAAGACAGGAGCAGTTTCTTGAGGAGCAGCAGCAACCTTGTTGACAGGTTCTTCAACTTTTGGTGGGGCTGCTGGTTTGGGAGCAGGTACTTCTTTAATTTCATTCTTCACTTCTTTTTTTACTTCCTCTTGTTTAATTTTAATCTCTTCCTGTACAGGTTTCTCTGAGGCTTCCTTCTTGGGCTTCTTTTCCTTCTTCTTCTTGTCTTTCTTCTCTTCTACATTAGCAACTTCTTCAATTTTTATTGGTTCTTCAGGTTGTTTTTCTTTTTTCTCTTCTATAACTTGTTTTTTCTCTTCTGCAATTTGTTTCTCTTTTTCTTTAATTTCCTTGTTGACTACTTCTTTAACAAGCTTGTCCATTTCTATTTTATCAGCTCTCGCATCTTTCACTTCTTTTTCTTTTTTGGATGATTTTTTATCTTTTTTAACTGGTGATTGGTCTTTCTTCTTTTTATCAGATTTAAGAGGTACTGTTTCCCAGTTGCCATCATCAAAATCTACTGGTTTCTCTGATGCTTTGTTTAAATTTTTCTTATTTTTGATTTCCTCTGTCTTTTTGATTTCCTGTTTTTTAGGCTTTTCATTTTGTTTCTCTAGTTTCTTCTCCTTCTTTTCTTGTTTTGCTTCAACTGTTTCTTTCTGGGGGGACTTCTTGGATTCCTTTGATGGGGATTTATCTGATTTTTGATCTGCACTGCTAATGTGACCATTAGCAGTAGGTTTCTAAAATAAAAATGAATAAAACTATTAAATGTAATCTTTAAATTATTTTTAAATTAACAAAATATAAAGAACAGTAGCATAACTATGGTATTGCAATGTACAATATATTTAAACCATCCAAAGCTGAATTTGATAGATCTAGATCCATTTAAGGATTATTTACAGATAAGATTTCACTAATAGTTTATTTCAAAATAGAAATTTAAATACTCTTTCTTTAAAATATAGATATGATAGAATACAAAATATGATTCCTTTAAAAAACCCTGTTTGAACTAAGCAATAACTGAAAGAATTAGTCTATAATATAATTAGTAGTATAATTAGTAATATATCAATATGTTGAACTATATTATATAGATTAGATGATCGACATATTTCATGATTATAATAGATCATTTTCTTGTTTAACGTTTCAATCATGTTTTAGGTTATTTCAAAACGTCTACATGTCTCCAACAAATTACCTTTACATATTTGTATGTGTGTTAAAAATTTGTGTAAAAATGTCGATGATAAAAATATATCAATTAACTCCTATCTGAATGAAATTATTACTATAATTTTTGTAGAATGTAAAATAGCAACTCAAGATAATTTTTATAAAAATAAATTGCAAAAATCCCCTTATCAAATAAGCTTTCAAATTATTGCATGGATAAGCTGTTACTTTTATCAAACTAATGACTAGTCAACAACTTTTTCTAGTAAGTAACAAATGATAAAAACATGATTGTTATTATAAATTACAATAAAAATATGTGTAGTAGCTGGTTTAGCATATTCTGTTTTTATGTAATATATTTGAAAAACCTAATTATTCAAACTCAAAAAATTTTCAATTTAAAAATAAAAAACATGTAGGCTTGTATTTACACATATGTCACATAAGTTTGGAATATTGGAATATTTCATCTTTTTATTGATTTTTATATAGAAACCCTTGTGAATAGTTAAACATCATTTTGTTTAAATTCTCAACAATACTAAATAAATCTCAAAACCAGATAAACGATATGTAAAAAAATTATTTATTCTATTGGAGTGAAAAAACTTACAATGTACAACTTACATTTACAAATAAATTAGTATAGAAAAAAATAATTTTTAATAAAACTAAAAATTAGTATGTTCTCCATTGACCTGTATGCATGCCTCTAGGAGATCAGACATGCTGCCGATTAACTGGTCGAGCTGGGCTTGCGGAACTCTCTCCCATTCTTCACGAGCAGCACCATTTAGTTAAAGTGTAATAGGGTGATTATTTCGCTTCTTGATGCGTGTTTTGAGAATGCCCCAAGCATGTTCAATAACGTTCATGTCAGGAGAATTCGAGGGCCACTGTAATGTAGATATTCTTTCTTCTTCCAGAAATTTTTCACTGCTGCTGTTCGATGAGGAAGTGCATTGTCATTCATAAACACAAATTCATCACCTACTGCCCCTCGGAATAGACGTAAGACAGGATTTAAAACTTCCTCGATGTACACAGCACCAGTGACTCTCTCTCCAGAACCAGCAATGGCGTCCGTATACCACTCATAATACCACCTCACACCATAATTCTGCCACCTTCAAATGCGACACGCGGTTGGGCTGTTTCTAGTCAGGCTTGTAGTCCTGGGCCCTCCAAACCAGTGTTCTTCGCAAATCAGATACCAGGCCAATTTTTTACTCATCAGAGAACATCACGTTATTCCAGTTAGGACCATGATGCACCATTTCTCTAGCTCATTGCAACCTTACTATTTTGTGTCGGTAGATTAGTTTAGGAACACATAGCGGTCTTCTGCGATACAAATTTACCGCATTTAGTATGCGTGATATTGTTTGCCGTGAAATATTCAGTCAACTTAGAAATTTCTTTGGATATACCACTTGTAGATTCCAGACGATTTCTACTAGCTATCAATGTTATTTGCCGGTTTTGTGCTGCTGTTGTACATCGACATCTACCACTTCTGGGACGATCCTTGACGTCATTTGTATCTTGGATTTTTTTTTTAATTTTCGATACAGTCCTCTGAATAACATAAACAATATTCGCGATAACTTTGATTAAAGCCCTGTTGTAACAAAGCAATTACTCTAGATCTGTCAAAATGAGATATCACGTTTCTAATCATTTTTAAACGGCTCAATTCAAGTTTAAACGAAAGACTGAATAATATGTAAATACGCTAATCAGTTGAATGTGACCAAAATCATAAAAAAACGATTCAAATTTTTTATCATTTTCATTTAAAAACGCTCTAGAATGAATATCAACAACAGTTTTAAAACCATCATAGGCGTAGATATATTATTTGTATGTATTCCAAACTTTTGGACATGTGTGTATATGTTACTCATATTCCAAATTCAGTCCTAGGAGGCATAATATAAAAATTGTTTTTGTTTTGTTGATATTGGTTTTTTCTGTAATAAGAACTGTTGTAATAATTAGTTTTGGAATATTTATTCATACTTGGAGAGTAGGAGTTGGTTGTGTTATAGAGGTAGCACCTTTTATCAGAATGACCACATCAAGAATCATACACAGTTCTTGATAACTGGTCCTTATAAGATACCTAACTCTCACTTTGGCTCATATGCCATATCCCAATCAACTGCATTGGTCTGTAAGCTAAATTAAATGTGGGTAGATGGGTATATGGTAATACATTAGTCAGTGGTAGCTGGTTGTTCCAAAACTACGGCACTATATATTCCCAAGAGAGAATTTCTTCTGATATACAGAGAGTGAAGAGTGGATGTGTAGTGGCCCAACTCCCTCTCAGCTCCACTTCAGTTCCTGGTCAGATGGTGTGAAATATGCTAGCTGCTGCCAAGGTGAGATATTGCTCCTTGCAGAGCCTTCGCAACTGAATCAAAACCTAAACTAAATTTAAGAGAGATTCAAATAATTGGAACAAGGAAGGTCCAGGAATTGATCCAAAACCCTAGAAAGCTACAAATAATTGAAAAAGAAATGGTAAATCTTCCAATATGGGGACTCTCAGAAACTCACTGGAGAGGTAAAGGTCATTTTAAAACAACTGCTGACAACATTGTCTACTTTTCAGGCCCAGATAATACAAGTACAACTGGAGTCGCAATAATATCACCCTCCAAACTGAATGTCTACATGATTGGAAATAATACTGTTCACAAATAATGTACAGAAAAATATCCATTAAAATGTGAATATCCTCCAATACTCTACACCTTATACAGATATACGCTGGTACAGCATGAAGACATGACAGGTTTTATGGCCATCTAGAAACTACTACGTATAACTAAATATACGTAGAGATGAAAAAGCTCATCAATGAAGAAAATCTTCAGACATTAACAATATTATTTAACAAAATATATACCACTGGAATCTTCCCAGAAGACTGGCTTAGATCGACATTTATACCTATACCAAGAAAAATAAAGCAAATAGATGCTCACAGTTTCAGATTAATTAGCCTGATGAGCCATTTTCTGAAATTTTACTCAAAATTGTACATCAACGAATATACAGAGAATGCGAAAGAAACCTTAGCGACAATCAATTTGGATTTCGTATGGGGCTTGGTACAAGGGAGGCATTATTTGGCCTCCAGGTATTACTACAAAAATGCCGAGATCAGCGAAAAGACGTCTTTCTCTGTTTTATCGACTACGAAAAAGCGTTTGATCGAGTTAAACACACAGAACTCATAGAAACCCTAACACAACATGGTATAGACCATAACACTGTATGCACTTATTAAAAAACTATATTGGGATCAAATGGCGTCTATCAAAATAGACAATCGTCTGACAGCAGAATTGCCAATAAAAAGAGGAGTTCGTCAGGGATGTGTACTTTCTCCACTGTTATTTAATATATATTCCGAAAAGATCTTTCAAAATGCCCTCGAAAATATTGAAGAAGAATAAAAATCAACGAGAATACGTAAACAACTTAAGATACGCAGACGACACCGTCATTATTGCGGACAGTGCTGAGGGTTTACAACGACTTTTGAATGTCATAACCAGAGAGGGAGATAGCTTGGGACTAAATATAAACACAAATAAAACAAAAAGTGATGGCTGTTACACGTGCACCAAATGTCGACATTAATATTCGTATCTATAACAAACATATAGAACCAGTACAAAGATTCCAGTATCTTGGTTGCTGGATAACAAACGATCTTGACCACGAGGTCGAAATACGTGCTCGTATAGAATATGCTAGGTCCGCATTTCAGCGAATGAAAAAATTTCTAATAAACTCTACGTTATCGTTGGACATCCGATACCAATTTGTAAAAACGTTTATTTATTCCATATTGCTATACGGAGTGGAAACATGGACTCTCGGAATTACAAGTATGAGGCGTATAGAAGCCTTTGAGATGTGGGTTTTTCGAAGAATGCTGAAGATCTCTTGGACAGAGCACGTGACCAACAACGAGGTGCTAAGAAGAATGGGTACTGACAGAGAACTCCTAAATATTGTAAAAAACCGAAAAACGAGTTATTTAGGACATATCTACAGAGGAGAAAAATACAACTTCCTACGACTTATAATGGAAGGGAAAGTGGAAGGAAGAAGAGGTCCAGGAAGAAGAAAATGCTCCTGGTTGAAGAACATAAGAGACTGGACAGGCATGGACACACATGCGATACTAAGAACAGCTCAAGATAGAGAGCAATTTGCTGTAGTTATAGCCAACCTTCAGTAATGGAGAAGGCACCTTAAGAAGAAGAAGAAACTATTAGCTCTAGTCTCAATCGTGAACTAGTCACAGTTCTAGGAGATTTTAATGCCAAAGTAGGGTCATATTACGAAAATATTGAAGTAATACCTATTAGGCAACAATAGACTGGCCAGAGAAATGTGAGGGATGACTGTCTTGTGAAGTTCTGTGTAGAGCATCATCTTGCGCTTACAAATATGTTTTATCAGCACAATCCATAAAGATTGTACACATGGCATATCCCAGATGGACAAACAAAAAATCAAATAGATTGCA